CATTCACGGCAGAGTTTATTTCTGCCCGGCGCCAAATGTTTATCATCTTGATGAAAACAGTCTGTGATTTTTTGCCGACAATGCAAACACAGCTTTGATTGATGGTGTTAAAAATGAATATTCATCGAAACTCATTGCAAAAAGGCGTGAAATTCGCAGTATTGATGTTGCCGACGAGACATACTCTATTCTGTCTGGCGTTGGGGAGGGGGGTCTGATGCTGTTCGGCTGGCAAGGGTGCCAGTCCCGCCTACATGTCAGACTATTTTGATGATAACCAATGATAATAACATTTTGATATGCCACTTACTTTGCAGACTCACCACCAATACCTCCACCAAAGACCAATAGTTTAATAGAGCACATGCAGAAAAGGTAAGTACATAATATGGATTAAAGTTGATTCATTATTATGGAGGCTTTGTAGTATCATGGCTCACAACCGGAGGTTTATTTGCTTGAATCTTGCAACTTTCATGTATTTGTGTTCTTGAGCAAGGTATTATTCCATCCTAATACCACTAATTTACTCACCGACTTTCTTCTCTATTCTCTAGTGATCAATCTGCACTGAAAGGAAGACCAATAAGTACTCACATACCGTCACGAACACAGTCTCAACCACAACACTCTCAGTCAGTCAGTAAGTACAGAATAGCATAAAGTTGAAAAAAACAAATTGATAATATTGTTTTATAAATATTTGATTTAAAAAACAGTGTAAGACTAAAAAAAGCTGTTTCTGGTCCAAAGTTTGACTGTGAGGAAGGCAAATACGGTCAGTCAGACCTAACACTGATTGTGAAGGTGACAAACCTATTCTATTCCCATTTTCTTCAGCATTACCCAGGAATACTGCATTGGCTGGTAGTAGTCACATGACCAGTTCCATCCAATCGTCTACTCGGGTTCCTCCAGTTCCTGTTCCTAAACCGAGGCTGCAAGTAAGTTCAACTATATGCTCTCCTTCATTGTATGTACATAAACATTACAGACAACATTGTCACTGCAGGTACATGTATAAACTATGTCATGAGTAAAAGAAGCACTTTTAAAGACTCAATAGTCACGGATTATTCAAGTAATATCATTTTGTTTTTCACATCAGAAGAAAGTAAAAAGGGTACAAGCACTGTATGATTGTGATGCTGACAATGAAGATGAAATCACATTTAAAGAAAATGAAATAATAATTGTTACAGATGAGGCAGATGCAGAGTGGTGGGTGAGTAACATAAAGTAATCATGGTTGCCGAGCAACAATAGGGTGATCATGGCTTCCTGTCAACTCTTGCCCTAATTAGGTGCATTTACATTACACATCTCAGCATGTTCAGAGCATCATGCAAAGTTTGGTAAATGCCAAAAGAAGGTTGAGTCCAAATGAAAAATTATATGTGGACTTTTTCACCCTTTCTTTAACTGGGTTGATTCTAATAGGATACCGAAAATGGGGGGGGGGGGGGGGTATGGTCATCGATAGTTTTTTTGAGAAACAAAAGTCTGGTTTCCGTGATAGAATTCACATCTCAAAATTTTTCCCAGTGACATGGGATGAAAAGTAATATTATTGTTGGTATAACTCTAGAGTATTATGCAAACATTTAAAAAAACTGACATTTAATTTAATGAGTTACAGTATGATAATAGTTTTCGTTAAATGCAATGGTAAATTGTTTCCCATAATGCCTTGCACATATGTGCAGTAACATGCTCAGTAATGATAAATTTAAGAGTTATTCTTTGTTGCTCCTGGTGTGTGGACTCATGTCATCATGGTTGCCAAGCAACAGTGAGGTGATCTTAGCTTCCAATTAAACTCTACAGATATTAGCATGTTCTGAGCATTGGGCAATGTATAGAACATTTTTCTTGTCTGTTGTGTTTAATAAACTGACAAGATCAATAAGAATGTATTGTGCCAATGGTTATGATGAATATGAACGCAATTATTCTGTTCATTCTGCAAACACAATGAATCAATAATTACCCCTGGTAATATAACTGCAGTACTACATCATACAGGGGTTCCATTTTATCCACATTAAGGCTTATTGTCCAGGAAACTTTTGAACGTAATCATAAGTTTTTTCTTTTATGTGATAATAAATTTTTCTGAAATTCACTGAAAATGTTGAGCTGTATTGATATATTTCTCCTAATCTTAATGTGTACGGTATACAGCTTTCGCAGCCCGAGGTTGTACAGGAAAGCGGTCTGGCTTGCATTAGCTATAAGACCTTAGGCCACGAACGAACCAGTCAATAGGTTTTATCTTATATTTTATAGAGGTTTTATTAATTGTTTTGAGATACTGGTGTTTCAATTAATTTGGTTATTCTTCTTATCTCAGTTCTTTATTCCTACATTCACTTTATGGATTGATGTTTTGGTGTTTGTCATCACAATTTCAACAAGACTCTGCAAGCCTTCTAACATTTAATCGCTACTATTGCAACTCTTTTTAAACCAGAACCCTGATGAGATTGCACTATTTCAATGTTTTATAAAGGTGACTTCTACAACATGACAACACAATTCTGTCAAAACAAATTCACCATGGATTTTAGCTGTGACATCATAATGTACCAGTAACTGGCTGGAACCAGTTGAGGTTACAGCATTCATTGTATAGAAAATTATTGTACATAATTTCTCATAGTATCCAAAGTACAGTATAAGGTATACGACCAGTACTATTGCTCAAAATGTTATGAGAAGTTACTTACTAACAAGTATGCATTTTTAGAAATTACTGTGAATACACAGCCTGAAATAAAATGTTAGTGAATGCGTAGAACACATTCATGTCAAAAAACTAATGGTGTAAACTGATTTTCATTGAAATATTTTGCAGTAACACAATTTTAGGTGCTGTATATGTATATGTATATGTATGTGTCTATGTTATGTTTATAAGTTTCACCAAGCATTATTTTGTAAAGAAAGCGCTAAAATTATTTCATCTGTCTGTAAAAGTAGTGTTGTTGTTTGACTATGGACTATGACAGAAATTTAGTTATACATTGTATGGAACATCTCCTAAGGACTTAAACTCAGTTCCAGGCCTAGCAGTTGAATAATAACATCTTAGTTACAAGTGCTCTTCTCCAGTGCATTATTCTCCTCCTGGATTTGGTGACCAATACACACTTAGTTCATTGTACTCTGAGATGTCAGTTCTCAGTTTACAGCCCTCTAGTGTGAATTTCTCCTTCTCCTATTATTATAAATATACACCAAATTACATGGTGTATGACCATATGTGTCAGTACTCATTTTATTGCAAATTGTAATAATAATAACTTTATTGTTGTTGAATCTCTGTTGAAATATAGATAAAATTACAATAAAGAATAAAATTCAGTTGAGACAAAAGTAAAATAAGTGCATTGTGTAGACGAAGT